CCCCTCCCCCCCTCAAAGTCCCCAATAACCTCCTGAGATACAATCCGACTCCCCGCCAAACAAACCGGCACCCCCGTCCCAGGATGCGTACTGGCCCCCACAAAAAACAGCCCCCGAATATCAGGATGGCGCACCTTAGGCCGGAAGCCCAACACATTAAAGAACGAATGCGACAGACCCAGGATCGCGCCGCGGTCGAGGTTGTATTTCTCGCGCCAGGTCAGCGGGGTCTCTAGGCGTTCGTGCACGAGATGGGCGCGTAGGTCGGGCACGCCGGTTCGTTGCGCTAGCGTTGACAGGATGGTTTCGCGGAGCTGGGCCACGACGGTGTCCCAGTATTCCGGGCGGGATTTTCGGGTGGCCGTGTGTGGGGGGGCGGATGGGGAGGGGTCCAGGTTGCCGACGGGGACGAGGACGACGACGGCGTCGCAGCCGGGCGGGGCGGCAGTCGCGTCGACCCGGCTGGGGACGTGGAGGTAGAAGCTTGGGTGGCGCGGGAGGTGCTTTTCGTGGAAGATGGCGTCGAAGCTTTCTTGGTATTCTGCTGCTAGAAAGACGTTGTGTGATTCTAGGGGGGGGAGGGTTGTGTTGAAGGACCAGAAGAAGCTGATGCTGCTGCACGAGGTTTCGCGGTGGGTTAGGGAGGCGGAGTAGGCGGTTGGTGGGAGGAGGTGGTTGTAGGCGTAGATTAGGTCGGCGTTGATGATGACCGTGTCCGCGGTGAGGGTCTCGCCGGTGGTGAGTTGGACGCCGGTGGCGGTCTTTTGGTCGGCGGAGAGGGTGATGTGCGAGACGGGCGTGTTGAGACAGTAGGTCGCTCCGTGGCGGGTCGAGATGGCGTGGATTGCGTCGAGGACCTTTGCTCTGTTAGTATTTGCACGAAGGTGAATGCGGGAGTTAGGGCTGGCGAGCCAGGTAGGTGGGTAGATCGTTCGAGGAAGGTGGTAGGGGTACTAGTAGGCATACTCACCCGTCGAAACCCACCTCGCGGATACCACACCCCGTACACGAACTCGGCATACTGCAGCAGCGAATACGTCCCGGGCGCCTCGAACGGATTCATCCCCAGGTACATGCTCGCGAACGTGAGCGCCTGCCGCAACCGCTCCGACTTGACGTAATGCGCCGCCCGCGCGTACACGCTCGTGAACGGATGCAGTCGGAATGTGTTGCGGATCATCCCCGGCTTCACGATGCTCCACACGTGTGGGTAGTTCGAGTACAGCACATGCTGTCGCGAGAGGTTGTAGTGTCGTCCGGCCTCCACCAGGAACTGCAGGAACCGCTCCCAGCCCGATCGGCCTTCGTGCGCCTCAACCACGGATTGCATGGCTGCCATGTCGGTGGACATGTCGAGGGGCGGGGATGCGTCGGCGTAGTAGATGCGGTAGTTCGGGTTGCATTTCAGCAGCTCGACCCCCTCGGCGGCCATGGTCGTGTCGAGGGCGGCGAAGACTTCTTCGAAGTATTCGGGCATGAGCAGCAGGGAGGGGCCGCGATCGAAGCGCTGCAGCTTGGAGTTAGTGATGTGCAGTTGATTGAAGCAGAGAAAGGATGCGAACGTAGCCATTCTCCTCGATCAACGAGCATCGTCCCCCGACGGTGTCGTTCTTCTCGACCACCGTCACTTGGTACCCTCGTTTCGCCAGACGGGCGGCGGTCGCTATTCCGCCGGCGCCTGCACCTACATGATGTTAAAAAAAATGCAATGTGGAGAGGAGGGAAACGATAACCTACCGACGATAATCACGCTGGGTGGTTTGGACTTCATTTTGCGGAAACTCTGCCCTGTGTTACTCACCACCCAACCGACGACAATTGTTTATACATTTTCTTATCATGTGCAAAGTAAATAGCACCGACCACCGCCGACGCAATTGAGGTCATCAATGAAGTAATGCATATTTAGCGGGCTGCAAGATAAGGTTACATCACGGAGCAACCGGGAACCTCCAGACTGACTTTCCCGGTTCTGCCGAACCTTGATCCTACACAAGTACAAAAGCCGGCCTCCCAACCCTGCAGTGCACACTACAACCGACTCCCCTCCTTGCGTCGCACCCCATTCCGCACCCCCTATTTCTGACCATATCTCCGCACCGTGCGCGTCGCCACCTTCTCCTCATCATAGATCGCCTTGACGCTCGGGTGCGCGATCGTCGCCTCCGCCCACCGCTTGAAGTTCGGCGTCTCCTTCTCCAGCGTCTGCACCAGATCCGCGGGGAACAGCCCGTACTCGGGCTTGGCCAGGGAGAACAGGCGCAGCAGGAACGAGCCCAGCAGCACCTCGGCGAAGGTGAGCTTCTCGCTGCCCTCGAAGTAGGGGCCCTGGCCGGCGGTGTGGGCGGGGTAGATCAGCGGCTCGATCTCCTTCTTCACGGCGGCGACGAAGGCGTCGCTGGAGGCCTGGCGGTCGGCGTCGCTGGCGCGCAGGGTGGCGTGGTACAGGCTCGAGACCTTGTTGGCCCAGGTGTCGACGAAGAAGGTGGTGCGGGCGCGTTTGAGAGCTCCCTCGGGGGTGTTGGAGGGGGGCAGGATGTGGGAGGGGTAGGCGTCGACGAGGAACTGGGCGATAATGGCGGACTCGAGAATGATGGTGCCGTCGTAGGAGAGGGCGGGGACGAGACCACGCTTGAAGGGTGTTAGTGAGGGGATTCGGGGGATAGTGTAAGGAAGGAAGCGGTCGTACCGGGTTGACTTCAAGATACCATGATTCACGCGGGGTGTCCAGGTCGATGGTCACCTCCTCGTAGTCGATGCCCAGCTCGATGAGGGCGATGTGCGCCCGGTGAGCCCAGGGGCAGAGGCGGTTCGTGTAGAGCGTGATCTTGGGGGACATCTTCGTGTGTTTGTGAATGTTCTGGCGATGGTGTTTGTTGAGGGGAAGAAAGTTGGAAAGTTGAGGGGTTGCGGGGAGAATTAATAACCGCGGAATGACGCCAGTCCACGCCAAGTGGGGAGCGGATCGCGTAATTCCACGGCTCTGTCTATTATTAATTCGGCAGTTGAGGCCGACCCCGGATATTAGAAATCAACTTGCGGTAGGTACAGTACGTTAGTTGTGCCAAATCCATGCTTAACAACTATACCTTCCCTTCCAATCTTTTACATACGTGACTTTCAAGGTAGTGCAACTGGGAGTATATTCGCTGGCTGGCACGGTCATTCATATCTTTCAAAGCTTTTTGTCTGGGCTAGATGGACGTACCAGATGGACGTGGGTTTCAGGTAATGTATTTCAATGCGTCGGCAGACAAAGTGGGCAGGTGACGTTTACAGCCGGGATAATTGATCAACTCGTGCTCTTATTTGAATGTCACATCTCAAGGACATCCTAGACACATCCGTGATCATCGCAATATTACAATGTCTTGCAAGCGAGCTATTCGTCAGGCAACGATTTAACATGTTCTTGCCGAGCACGTCACCACAACGCCGGGCAACATGCTGCGCATTAAGAAAGCCCTCAAGCCGGGTCGACTTTATCAGCCTATTTAACGCGTCTGCGCATAGTCGACAACACGCGATCTGAAAGTTCAACGCTAAGCAAAGCGTGGTTGCTCTGCTTGGCGAGCTCACAGGGGGCTGTCCGACAACTCGACCTGGTCCGATAATGCGGGATGACCTCAGGCATCAAAACTGCTCACCGTAAAGCCCTCATCTCCGGTTCACGGATGGTTGTGATGGCCAAGGTCTTACACCTGGTATATATCAAGGTTTTATTCTTGGTAGGTTACTGGCCGGATCCTATCACTGATACAATCCTCCTGCCTGAGGTACCTCGACCTGCCCACTCGTGAAGCTGCAATGACCGAGAGGGGCAGTCACCCGCACCGCGCCCCATTGGACGGGCAAGAGTGACATATCCTCCTCGCCCATTTCCCGGGAATCAAGAACGCATTCCTCGCTCTGCAACCCAGTCCTGTTCTCTTGAGACAGGCTAGGGTCGTATTCCGGATGACACGCCGCGGCAATCGCCAGGCTACAACTTCCCACAACGGGCATAGCGGAGTCCAATTTCCGGCGACTCAGCCCGACAATTCCCGCTAGAAACACGCCCCCAGCGATGATACTGCCCAGGATCCCTGCCGCAGACCAGCTGCAACTGAAGAATACTACACTCCCGGAGCCAGAGTCCCATTCTTCGACGCCGACCAAAAAAAGGCTCTGCGAAACCAGCCAATGAAGGACGGTGGAAGTGGCTATGAACGGAAGCGCGTAACGATACGGGACGGACAGAAAATAGTTGGATCGCTGCGCGTGCTGGGGGTTCGACGAGACCCGAAGGCCCTTGCGCGCTTCGGCGTAGCCACTCAACTCCGCGGCCATGGTCAAGCATGTGAGCAACCCGTTGAAAGCGAGGTAGAAAAAGGAGAAGAGCAGTTGGGGTGAGTTAGCAATAAGCACGTTCTTGACGAGGGAGATCGGCCGGTGGAGGCCAGATATCAGGCTATTCGAGGTGACCGCGCCTAGCCCGAGCGTCCAGGCGTTGGTGCCTGACTGGTTGCTGGACATCTGGGAGACGCCGTAAGCTAGCAACACAACGCAGACGATAGTTTCGCTCAGCCAGAGTGAGACGCAGAATTTCCACCGACGACCGGAGACCGCGGCGCCCCATCGTTGCCGTTCGTTGTCGAATGCTTTGGGTCCGGGCGATGAGGTCCCTGAAGCCTGGGAGCCCATGCCTCGAGAGCCTCGTGTCACGTCACGACTGGTAATTAGACACCGGGATTGGGAATAAAGATTGGGACGCCGCAGGAATGACGCGATTGCATCCCCACTGGTCAGGATTGGTGCCTCTAATGGTCGGCCCCACATGTAAAGCAAAAGACACATTTTGACCAGATTAAAACCTATCACGATCATTGTGAACGGAAAGGAGTACCGAAGCCTGCAATGCTGGTCTGCTTTTTCAGCTAAGCAGTATTGAACCGTGGAGTTATACTCTCCCACAAACATGACCCTGCCATCGAGCGAGGTTGGTGACGAGTAGTTAAGATACCTGCGTCTCCTGTTGCAATAAGAGATATCCAGGGATGTATAGTCGCACAGCCAATTGTAGGGTGTTTCCGTAGTGTCGGTAAACGGCGTGAAAACATACGCGGTATCGATGTAGGCATATGTATCATTGCTTCCATTGACATCATCCGTCACGACCGGTAACTTCTGATAAGCTTGTTGAAACGTGACTGCGGACTTTTCACGACACGTCTGACTGTCCAGGTGCTGAAGGCTCCCACGTCTTGCTGCAGACAGGAGCTCGGAAAAAGAAGAGGACTTGTTAGAAGATGACTCGTAGGGGTATCTGAGGTTAACTTGGAAAATGTCTTTCTGCCCGAGAGACCCCGAGCCGGCGAAAATATCGTATACGTAGGCCGACGTTGTGGAATAGACGGCGGAGTTATATCTGTTGCTTTAGTTTATTAAAAGGCCATTGGACAGTGACTCCAGGGAAGACTATACGCGAGGTGAAAGGGTAGGGAGAACAATGCCAGGCATAACCAAGAGATTAAGTGCTTTCGAGACACTTGAGATAAGTTGTGAAGACTATGTATGCCGATATCCACCCAGTGGCCTTTTCTATGGGCTCTATCAATAATCGGCCGTGTGGGCGCAGCTAGGCATTGCTTTTGAATTTGTTAGCTGCCATCCTGAGCTCTTCATGCATCGTCTCATACCATCCCGAAGTTGCTGGCGCTCAATAGTATGGTGCCAAGAACGTTAATCAGAAAATGAAAGCCGACCGATAGACGATGAGCAGTGTCACAATCTCCGTCATATATGATGGTGCTGATCAAGGGATTCAACTCCATAGAAAAGTAAGTTTGTTTTTCGCTTTCGTAGGGTGAGACGTCACCATAGGTAGCATTTGTCAAGGAGTACGACAAAAATGCAAGGTTGAGACACAGAACGACAGCGCTTGCGATGAAAGCTAAGAAAAGAGTGAACTTCCAGCCCTCGAGTCGGGAGCCGGAAATCTCGGGAATGGTTATGTGTTTCTTTTCTGGCCTCTCATCCGTCACTAATGGTCTTTGATCGAGTTCGCCGTTCTCATCCTCGCTTGCGTGCTCAGTAAGAGTATCTAAGACCCTACAGGAATTCCGAGTCACTTCTATCTCAATAGAGTCTTGCCGCATCTGGCGATTAATTCCCTGTGGCATACTGAAACGGTTCTGAATGTTTCTCTTGCAGACTAGAGCTTGCAAGAGAATTAAAAAGATCCAGTGAATTAGACAACACTGAGGGGCGGATGCAACTGCTCAACATCAAGCCAGCAGTCGCCAGCAGTCGCTAGCGGGGTCCATGAATAAATAATGTTTTTTCTGACTGTAGCTCTAAGCTCACTGCGAGCCGCTCCAGCTTCTAAGATAATCAAGCAGGCTAAAAAGGTCAATTGAACAAGGATCGGTGTTAGTGCTTACTCTCATCAGTTCCACCCACTCTCTGAGCAGGGCCCGAGAGGCCGCAGATTTAGCCTTGCTCCACCATCCTACATTGGAAAGAAACCAAATATGGGATGCAATTCTTTTAAACTATCCCTGTTCCCTGTTCTTTTCTCAATTGCCACCCCCAATTACCGGGTTGCGGGATCGCTGCCTCCCGCCACAGCCGGGAAGTGTTACATCAAGTTACAGGGGCACGTCGAAGGGAAAATCCCGCTTTGAGTTGCGTTGTCTGACAAGATATGAATGGTAATGGCCGATATATCAAGATAAGGAGGGCAACCCCTGAGAGTGACCCATACTGGCGCGAGGTATTGTCGATGTGCCCTTAGTGGGCCCCGAAAGACCCCGGCTTACTGCTGTTCAAGCACCCGTTCATAGCACCTTTCAATCACCTCTCCAAGTATTTAAGATGGTGACTATACACAATTCAAACTAAATATCGATGTATCAATTCGTAACTATAGCCTGAACTCACATCGTCCGGCACCCTTGTACAGGCCCTCTTACAGTTGCGAAACTGAACCTAGCACCTTACAAAAAATCATGCGATGTTGCCATAGGCTTTCGGAAGACATAAAAACAAAAGTCAAAATGCAAAAAATACAGGGTATCATGAACGCAACTTCATACTGCGGGACACGATCTGTCGCAAGCGGGATTCTGGCTTCCGACTTCCAGTAGGCCTCCGGCTCTCAACCAGTTCCACACAAGTTCCCAGGGCCTGCTTTTCTTCGAACTTGATCCGGAAATCCTTACCCAATGCCCGCATTGCTTCTTCAGGCACCTTCAAGGCTCCAAACTGAGCTTCGGCATCGAGAAGCCAGAGCGCTAAGTCTCGATCCTTCTTCTGGATAGCCTCGTATAGTGGGGTACGCCCACTCTTGTCGGCCTTGGATGTATCTGCGTGCACCCTTAGAAATGCGTCGAATCTTTTCTTCACAGTGGGGTCCCAGCGGGACTGACTCGCATTCTTGACAAAGTGAAGTAGAGGGGTTGCTCCCAGATCTCTATCGGGACGGTTGATAAGGTCAGGAGGGCGGGGATGAGTACAAATTTCAAGCAACACGCCTGCTCCAGCCTCTGCCTGAGCTGCGTAATGCAAGCTCGTCAATCCTCCACAGCAGTAAGTATCTTCGCATTCGGCACCGTTTCTAAGGAGAATTTGCACTATCGCTTCATGGCCACCGTAGGCGGCGGCCATAAGGGGAGTCATCCCGTTGTCAGAGCGGGTATTGACGCCAGCACCAAGTTCTAACAGCCACTTGATCGTTTCCTTCATCTCGTTCTTCTTCTTGCCACGGGCGATGGCGTAATGTAATGGGCCCATTCCTTCATGGCGTTGGTTCTCCGATAGCTGCACACGCTCTCTGGACATGGCACGTGCACGTACAAACTCCGAGTCGGACTCACGAATAGCCTCCCACAATCGATGGTCAAAGTCAAGGGATCCTCCGGGTGATTGGGTCTCAAGGCCCACAAATGACTGATGGCTGTTGATCAGGGTCTGCAATCTTTCAGAAACCTCACCCGCTGTTGGCCTATTCATTGGATCAATAGTCAGAATTTGCAAGAGGACGGCCTTGCAATCCTCGAGAAATTGGCTTCTGTGACCATAGCGGTCTGGCAACTCATTAATCCACCCCATAACCTGGGGATTGAGGCCAGCCGGAGAGAGCGTGTAAAAGCAGTCATACACACCGCTTGACCGTCTTCGTTCATCAAGGTCAGTAACGCTATTCTCTGACCCAACCCCAAAGGCAATCACGAGAGTCAGAATACATCCAAACGACCACACATCGCTCAATGAGCCATGATGCGTGCCGAGCACAACTTCTGGCGCCTCGTAGGCACTTATTGGCGCATCCAAAGACGGTCTTGAGCGCGAACTTCTTATATCGCCCGGGGCGGGACTGCGCTCGGCCATCCCAAAATCAGAAATCTTCCACAGACCCGCCCGAGAATCGCCGTCGCTTCGATTGTCCGTATACACCAGAACATTTGACGGTTTCAGGTCACGGTGGCAGTAATTGTCATTGTGCACGCTTTGAAGGGCCGCCGCTAAGTTCACGGATTGTTCCAACAGATGGGACCAGTGTGGTGCGGGGTTCAACTGCACTGTGCCATTGAGGATCTTCTCGAGATCGGTTTGCGCCAGGGGCAGAAGTATGCCTAGGTAGTCTCCCACAGCAACTGCACCCAGCATGCTCACGATATGTCCATGATCCCCTTGGCGCTCAATCAACCGTCTGAGGATCGCGAATTCGGTGTGGAAGTTATTTCGGTGATTGGCTCTGAATTTCTTCACGGCAACAGGTGTTGGCCTCTAGAGTATCCATGCGCAGTCGATCAGCGAGTGAAACACCAACGGGGGAGTCAGTTGACATTTACCGAATCTGGGGTCTTGTTTACATCCGGAGTGGGAGAAGACCAGAAATGACCAGCGGCGATATGCGCGCAAATGACCTCAGCTGACGCTCCCGCCCCGAGCCGGGGCTGTGTGGGTGGCTCCACTTCTTCGAACGGTAGGCGCCATTCTTCTGACCGTTCAATAAGTTCTTTGTGTATGATATCTACTGGGCAAAACATATACCGGTCGTTTGCGAATTTGTCGCCTGGCGCCGGTGTTAGAAAGGTTGGATCCATAAGTCCCTCTGAGGTGTACGTATGGATCTGGGCGTCCTTCCGGTCGTGGTTGAGGAAGATCTCGTGGAACCGAGGCCAGCTCTCCCGACTCCAATTAATGTAGACTAGAATTGACAGCGTCTGGATATAATCCGTGAAGAGATGTTCATCTGCAGATTTGTCGCGGTCTGGCATGGCGCTGGCAAGGAAGCGTTGCCGCCGTTCCTCGGTCCAGATGGTCTCCAAGGTGGCTCGCGCAATGAACTTCTCGTGAGGCTTTTTCTTCCGTTGGGCTCGAATGGCAAATTCGTTTCGAAGATCATCACACAGAACGTCAAAGTCAGAGAGACTTGATGCCATAGTGTAAGTTAGAAGGGAGTCTGTGGTCTTGGTTGTGAACCGGGAGTGATGGTGATGGGGGGTCAGAAGAGCACCAGACTACACTTGTTGGTTTAGTCGACACCCAACGCAGGTCGTCATCAAGTCAATGAAATATGAAGAAGGCAAAGGACTATTGTAGCGCATGAAGAACGATGGTACATGGTCAAAGATGGCAAAGCATATGTAATGAAGAGTGGTGGGAGTGGTGGGAGTGGTGGGAGGCAGGGTGATATAGAAGGAGGTAGTGAGTCAAGCAGTTCGAGTGGGGAAGGACGAAGAAAAACGACGTAGTCTGAGAGAAGTGACCACTTCCGTCCTTACTAGGTACTACTAGGTAGCTACCTTAGTCTCCTGGGCATCAGCTCACGTGTCCAACTCCCACAGCCCTGGAAGTCTGCCAGTAGGGTAGCGACTGCTGCCATGTTCCTATGGGCAAAGTCTCGTGTAGAGCTGAATGTCTCATTTATCCACTCACGGTGCTTGGAAATTCCCGGGTCCTGATGGAACTACTGTGTTGATTGAATTCGTCTACCTGCTTTCGCTGCGCCACTTTGACTGCCTCCTGAAATATACCAACTGTGCTGGCTGCTTAGCCCACACATGAATTCAATAAACTAGACTAGGAGAATACATATACTTTGCAAAGCTATCTAGATTGTGGACAACTTTCCCCCCTCAGTTGTGCTGGCCTCTGTGATTACATTCGGCACGAGAGGTACTACGGCTTCGCTAATGTACTTCGCCACCATTTGTGTTCTGCAGTTGGATCTCTTGCGCGGAGCCGTCGTCTCGACCAAGGTACTCTTTTTTCAGACGGCTCATCATGCTGTTGCCGACTGGTTTTGAGTAAGGTTAGTCGAAATGAGTGGTAGAGTAACAATCAAGTAGGGGATAATTCCGATACATACAGATCTCGTTCATGGACTCCAGCCCGTGCTTCTGCGTACCGTCCGGGACCTACGAGCGCAGACCATGTTAACACGGGTCACACATGTTCGTTCAAGTTTCCGACGATAGCGCGTACCAAGAAGAAGACCAAAACAAATGCGAGAGCGTTGAATCCCCTAGTTCTCATTTTTAGTGGGGCTGAGACCGCAAACAGCTTCCGCTCCGGCGAAGGTATCACATACTTACATGAAGTAAAAAAGCAGGATAGCATTGCCCCGCCACTTGGGCGCCGTGCCTTCGCGGTCTTGTAAGATCTGAGTGACCTCGGGCAGCAACAAGATAATCAGGCTCAGCCCGATGAAGTTAACCATCACGCAAAAGCTCATGCCGACTTCTGGCAATAGGCATCGCATCAGCATCTCAGACATCTCTGGCATTCGTCGCAACTTACCTCGAACCGCTAGCGGGAAAGCCTCCGCACTCAGGGTAAACGGCACCGGCCCAGCGCCGACGCCATAGCACGCTGTGAAGGCCACTACGCCCAGAATCGCAACCATGGCTTTGAAACCTCCGTCGCCATAATGGGGAGCGAGTTCAAAAATTCCGACTGCCAACGGGAGTAATGTAAAGAACATCCCCCCTAGAGAATACAGGAGCAAAACTCGGCGGCCGACTTGATCGATGCGCGTATACACAGGAAGGGAGAAGACAAAATTAGAGAGTCCGAAGCCTTGCAAAGAAAGGTTAAAAACTGTCGAGACCGACTGCCTTAAATACGGGAATCAAAGCACAATTTTCTTACCGAAGTTCATCCAGTCCACATCGCTGTTCTCGATTAATGTACCATTGGTGGTCGCATTCCGAGGGACAAGGTTGGCCATCTTGCTGGTGACTCCAGTATTGCTCGTCGTGGCATTTTGAGGCGGAGTCATCTTGCAACCCTCACTATCACCAAACAATGTGTTTGAATAGAATGCAATCGCATTGATCTGACTCAATTGAAATTGAAATTAGCGCAATGCAAAGAATTGGAAGAATTGGTCGATGTGAGCAAGTCTCACCCCACACATCTGCTGTGCCAGCATGGCAAGACAGGCAGCGATGCACGCTCTTCGATTCCGTGGTTTGGTCCAGAGCTCAACGATTCGCCGTGGAAATAGCTTGAAGCTTGGTTTGGGCACCTTGTCGCCCCGGAAGACATCATCGACTTCCTCGATGGGATCTCGTTTGTCAAGTATGCGGGCCTCCCATTGAAGCCGGATGTGGATATCATACAAGTCCCTGGCAGCTTGAACCTCCGTTTCCTTCAGGCGACGCAGGCTCAAATACGCTTTCTTATATTTCTTGGTACGAATCAAGAACCGGGGCGACTCCGGACAGAGGAAGACTAGAAAGAGGAGGACAATGGCTGGAATCGCAGGGGCTCCGAGAACAACCCTCCAGCTTTGATCAACAATCCAGACGCATGCAAAACCAAGGAAAATCCCTCTGCTTCCGACATTAGTAACTCGACCCCCTTTGAGCTGACTATCAGCCGGCGAGCAGGAGTGGGGTGGCCTACAAAGCATCGAAAACTTGCCACAAGACCAAGATTCGCCCACGAATTCTCGTGTCAGCTACCTCCGCAGCAAGCACTGGGGCAATTGAAGCTTTTGCTCCTATCTGAAGAGAGAGTCAATGTCAACTGATTTGTTGGTTGTCAATTTCGAGATTGAAGATTTTTACCCCAACGCCTAACAGCAGGCGACACACAAGGAGAGTTTGCCAAGAAGTGCTTCGAGCGCTCCCTATTGCAAGTAATCAGTCAGCGTTCTTCAACATCGCTAATAGCATAGGGAATACTTTACCAAGCACGCAGCCAATGCAGAAGATTGCCGAGACAAATAGAGCGGGCCGTCGTCCGAGTCCCCCCTCCTGCAGGGGATCGGTGAGCCAGGTGCCACTGCAGTTATGTCAGTTGTGCCCTTGTATATGTAACCTCTCCCACATCATACATAATACTTGCAGATATCCATGGGGCGGCATTCACGAACCCGGCCAAGTAGCGGTGTTCGTCCCACCCGCAGGTCTTACCATCGGGGCTATTGTATGGGAAGCTTTGTTGCCAGGAGTCACTGGTCGCATTGATGGACGACTGCTGCCATCCCCTAGTCGCGGCAGTGAGTATCTACACCTGATGACCCGATTGGAATAGGATTTCTGGCTTGCGGACTTACTGAACAATGGCTGCGCACGCAGTAGTGAGTATGGTGACCTTGAGATCTTGGGTTTGCCGCCAGAAGCTTGGATTTCTCTCATTCTCCAATGCCTGCTGCTCTGCAGGAGTCAAGCCAACTGCTCCTTGATAGCTGTCGTGTCGTGCGATCATAGCACCCTTGCGAAACTGCTCGAACGAGATCACCTCTTCTAGTAGTTTATTCTTGTGGAACAAAGCGATATCTTCCTTGACATAGGCCTCTAAACGATAAGAAAAGGGGTTGTCGGCCAGGCGACTGTTCAAAGAAGGTTATTGTGTCAGTCAATCGTTTCCTCTACCCGCAGAATCAACTGCGGGGTGACAGTCTTTGCTTTCTGCTACCAGTATTCTTGGGAGAATCGACTTACCGCCATGCATCATCATCATCGACCATTTTGCTGGATAACTGGGATTCTCAGGACCTCTTGATTGACTCGTGTTGATCGACTTGTGTTGACGAGCTCGTCTTCCACTAGTAATCCAGCCTCACAGCGCGGGAGTCGAGGAAAAGAAATAAGTAACTGTGCAGGAAGACGAAAGTGATGGCTTGGCAGTCTTGCCTGAATCTGGTAGGATAATCACGCACGTAATCTGGAGTCGATACAAGGCTCTTCGGTCCTACCATGGGTGCAACTGTATGTCGATCGCGGACCCAAGAGCCTGCCCACCCAAAAACTGTATACCCAGGCTGCTATCCGCGACCTGTGATAAAGACCGGCATGTACTTTATCAAGGGCAATTTATCAAACAACCGTTTCGCAATCAAGATATCCAATTCTCCTTTATTCTCTGGAGTAGGTTATAGTCGGAGGGATGAGGCCTTTCAACTGTTCAGAACCTCGCGACCCGTTCTCCGAACACGGGGTTGCGTTGCAAGTACACCCAACCTTGCTCGACCTTGCACGTGTGCCAGACCACACGGTCTCAAGCCCAGTCATACCGGATGTAACTCTCTATCCTAGCTCATGCAGATGATTTGTACATGGAATTGTGATTCGCGGCCCAAACACGAGATGGCTGAGCGCCACAGGATGCTCGCATTTGTAATATCATGTACTGGAGCTCTATTCACTGGCACATCTCGAGCACTTGCTCCAGGATTCGCTTCACATCTGTGAGATAATATTACTATGCTGCAATGTGAATGGAAGATAAATCGATATTGGTAGGAGTTGATCCAAAGGAAAGTTCTGAGCTCGAGTCTCGGTATTAAGGATGGTGCAGTTTGCCTTACATGTAAGAGACCGAAACCCTGGTGAGGCAGACTGCGCAGCAGTGTGGCTTCTTGATTTGACAATGATGGAGGATAAGTAGTCCTGGTGTGTTCAGCTGTTAGAGTAGTGGCTGTGAGGGATAGAATCTGATTTGTTGCGACTGGGATTTGTTTGCCCAAGTGACAGGGGGATCCTGCAGTAGTGCAGACGGCAATGTCCGAGTTTGCTTTTCAGAGCGCGTAACCTACCTTTCCCCAACCATTCGTCGCCGACCACGTCAGCGTCAAGAGCCGGGACTTTCAGTATGACAAACAGCTTGTATTTGGGAATTACAATGGTTTCAATCCCATCCGCATAATGCTGTCTCCACCGACAGTGATGTACCGCATTTCCGTGACCGAGGCGCTGGGTGGAGTCGAATATCCTCCCCCGCACTCAGGGGCGCTGTTGATAAATCTGGACGGTAGGTTCCAGCCTGTGTCAAATTTCCATCGCTCAACTTCCTTCGTACACTGCATCACCTCCAGTATACTCAGCCCCGGTCCGACCCTTTTTGGTGCAGTCTTCCGTCAACATGCCTACCGTGGTTCGCAACTGCCTAGGTCCGGAAATAACCGAGTATGTCGGCATACCAAAGTTAGAAGCCAAGCTTGAAGAGCTTTTCGGCAGATACATCCGTGTCACGGTAAGATGATCCTGTTGAGGAGGCGACGGGCAAGAAGTATCTCTGACCAAGCCTACCACATTGCCACAGCTTAACGGTCAATATTATAAGTTTGATGCTCCCAGACAGGTTACTCGGGTAAGTCTGGTGAGAAGGTGCATTAGCTCTACTGGCTGCGTGGCAAGGCTGACCTTCATCGCCCCGCAGGCCGACATCGAGTAAGCGCACTTCCTTACCATTTTGGGCTTGGACGCGAGTGCTGAAGCGCCCTTTACCCAGGGACATCCTGCCGTAATATGATGAGTCGGCCCATAGGAAGGGTTTGCCATAGTTACCATCATGGATACCCGATACATGTACTCCCTTATACAGCATCTAGAGGCAGTGACGTGTATTGGGGCTTAGTGAATGAATATGCCTTGTAGAATTGACTGACTCTCTTGCTTGCTTCCATCTGATTGGATCACATGTAGACAGCATACCTAGTAATCACCCTGATGCTGCTTCGTGCTCGTGGCTGTACCCCATTAGACTGTCTCTGTAACCACGGCACCCGTAGCATTCTTGCTGCAATCTCGCCTTCTGTCCCGCTATATAGACTGTTGATATCAAAGAGGAGCTTAAGTCCGGGCTTTTTCTCTCCATTTACTGCCAGAAGATAGCAAATTTAGCCCGTGCGTCCAAAGCATCAGCCTACTATTTCGACAGAAATCGTTCTATTCAATGCAATCCACAGGACATCAAGGTGTTCCCCCTGATTCTATCTCGTCACCTCATCACCACCAGACATTCAAGTCCAGTCCCGAAGGGTCTGACATCTATGTCTTCGATGCCAATGATCAGAACAGCAACAACCATCCCCTTTACTTTACCCACAGCCACTCATTCGAGCGGCATATCACTACGACCACAAAGCCGCCCCTGCGAATAGTGTATACTAGTCTTTCTGCGCCCGAAAACCGAGACTTCTTTGCCACTCTAACGATCGATCAGATCCATCTCCTCTCGAAGATCTATTCACTCCCTCTCCATCACCGAATCCACCTTTCAGATCCTGCTTGACCTGTACCAGATCGACTCCACTTTCTTTGATCTAGCTCTTGCATTCGGAGGGAAACCCTCTAGTGCTGATGCAGGTCGTGGGGTGATGCGTACCCGGCCGCGACTCGATGGAAGCCACGGTAAAGTCGCTCTCCCTTGCCTCAATCCCTTAACGCTCGCTCGTTTCACAAAGTGTACTCACTCTGACTGCGGCAATGAAGATACGCATTACCTGCTCACCTACCCCGAGTACGAGCCTGGAATGCCCAACGGGCCCAGCTGGACCTTCCGCCAGGTCGCCGTCTTTCAGCGTGTAGATCCGAGGAACTCCGAGAATCTGTGGATTGTGCTGAACGCGCGCCCCAAGTCCAAGTTGCAGCAGGCGGTGGAGCACTTTGCGGCGAGTCTCGCTGAGAACTATAATCCTCTCGTGGACTGGTACCTGGTGCCGGGGGCAATTCTGAAGGTATACCTTAGGAACTGGAGAATTTATATTGCCGATCATCTTGGGACGGAGGTTGAGAACACGGTATGTGTATTCCGGGCACCCCTCTTTCTACTTTAGTCCCATACCGATACCCATACACTCACATACACCTCTCCCCCTGCCTCCGTCTAATACTAGCGATTCTATTTCAAGCGGGAAACATATGAGAAACCATGAAAGAAAATGAAATACATTGGAAACGATAAAGTGAATTAGACCATGCTGATGTTCGTGATTGAATGGTCACAGCGAAAGCTCGTGTATGACATGCACAGCTTCGACAGTTATGATGACGAAAGTCAACTCCGCGACGTTATCAAACCACAGTCCTTGGGGGATAAAGCCGCCTCTCTCGCTGCACGGCTCACAGTGGCGTTGCAGACTGTGCGTCAGCTCACCCGCTTGAATGAGCTCCTCCATTCCCCAAAGCCGGGAGTCCCTCCGGCGGTTGACTACCATGCAGTTGCTGATGAGCTTGCAAACCACGAGGCTGACCTGACAGCTACCCTCCAAGGGCTGCGAGTTCTGGAGAACGAGGTACAAGGGATTGCAAATACGGTACGTAAAGAAAAAACCCAATGAGAATTCACCAACAGAACGAACACCAAGCTCCCTCTCTTGCTTCATCTTATTCTCTTGCGACCACGCCGCTAACTATCACAATTCCTATTCTTTGGTGATATATACAGCTGTCCGTCGCAGTAAATCTCAACGTCAACAATCAGATGCTGAAGCTGGGCACCGAGTCTTTCGACGACAGCTCAACTGTAAAGTCCATGACGCTGGTCACGCTTATCTATCTCCCCGCAAGCTTTGTGTCTGTGAGTCTTTACATCGATTCTGACTCCGAATCCCCTTTGCCCTCTGTTACCCTGTCTGTGTCCTGTGGATAGAACTCTAAAACTGCACAACAACCGAACCACTGAAACATGAATCTAACTGATCAAATGCCAGTCAATCCTCGGAATGAACCTATTCGACTTCGATGGCGGAGAAAAGGGCAGCTTCACAATATCTAAGCAGTTCTGGATTTTCGTCATCTTGGCGGTGCCGCTGACCCTCCTCACACTGGCCTCCTGGTATGTGGTCGCCCGGCAGACCCGCAAGGCCCGCGAGCGGAAGACCAAGCAGCAGGGCGACTCTGGGGCACGTTGACGTATCAAGACTTTGTCTGGAGGATATGTTGCTGTTTGTTCTCTTGTAACTTTTTCAGCTGGCGCCTAAGGTGCGATTGTCTAGGGCGTGAAAATGCCCTAGTTTTTATTCTGATATATAAGGATGTTAAACAGGATCACCCGTCATCCAGACTGGCACAATACATCACTGTCCGGATTGAGACGTACTAGCCGACTGAGGTTTTATACTTTGCCGTCGAGGACATTCTTTCTCGGTAGAACAATATTCTACACTGGCTTCGTCTCATGGTGTTACTGTGCGTAGGAAGCTGTTTGGGGTTCGAGGTGGACAAGCCAACTGGCTGTATGCTAAATTGTTTCGACCATCTAGATTGCAGCTATCATCGCGAGAGTGGCCACTCATGTCCGAACACTCCACCACAATCACAACCACAACCACAACCACTGCCATCCCACAAGCCCGTCTCTGCTACCCCATCCCCGGGCGCTCAAATGTCTCGAGCGCGCGCGACGAAGCCCTCCGCGTCCGCAAGCTGCGAATGGAGCACCGCCTCCAAGCCAATGGCGCATTCTCATTCCGTCCACCGAGTACCTGTGCACTCCTGCTACAAGCGTACTTCAACTGATTCCACCCGTGCTTCCCCATTATTTACCGGGCGGATGTGCAGCATTCGTACCTCCGGGGTACCCTCTCGCCCTTGCTCTTGCACGCAATGCTGTTCATCAGTGTGAGTCTCTGCCCCGTCGATGCCTCGGCCCGGACGGAATTCGTGGATCGCCACTCGGCCAAGTCCCTATTCTACAGTCGCGCGAAAGCACTCTATGATGAGGACTGGGAGACAGACAAGACAGTGAAGCTGCAGACGTTGTTTCTGCTCAGCTTCTGGCGGGGAGGGCCGTCCGAGGAGCGGGATATCAGGTTCTGGTTGGGGATCGCGATCAGTCTGGCGCAGAAGCGGGGGATGCATGCGATGTGGGTTGTGTTCTTTGGGGTCTCCTTTCTTTTTTGGGGACTGGCTGATGGGTGACTTGACGCAGGGCAAAATTCTCGCTTTGGTCGGCCAAAGAAGAGAGGCTTTGGAAGCGGATTTGGTGGGCCCTTTACGTGAGATCTCTGTTCACACATCTGGGCTGAGTTGCTGACCTGCCGTGGATAGACTTGCGATCAACAGAGTGCCGCCGCCCTGGGTCTGCCGCCGCGCATCCGAGACGAGGATTGTGATATCGCTATGCTTGCGCCGGATGATTTTCGGAAGACCGAGGTGCTGGATGACACGTCTGTGTTCGGGGTGCAACTGGTGGGAGATGTGGAGTATCCGGTGGAAATGGCCAAGCTTGCGAGAATACGTACGTTCTTCGGTTACCCCTACGAATGTGTGTGCTGACAAGGCAGTCCGCACGGTTGTTGCAACGCAGTACTCGCCCACGCCAACTTTAGCCAGCCAGGAGACTCGAAAAGACCTGCATCGGCAGCTGATTGAATGGGAATCGAGTATCCCGGCGGAGCTGAGGCAGGATAGTGCGGTGACTCCGCGGGCAAAATTCCTCACGGGACTGATACATATGACTTACAAGTACGGCTCATTTTCCAAGTGGTCTGCTCTACCACTAATTCCTACGTAGCAACCTGTATATCCTCCTTTACCGACCACTTTTCCTTCACTCTCCGGAGAAAGGCACGGGTGGAGAGGACCAGATTGCTGTCGACGCCGCCACGCGAAGCACGAGGATCGTCGAAGACATGCTGTCGCACAACCTCGTGCAGCACGGGTCGACTCGTTTGTAAGTCCGAATCTCTTTCCAGCTCGGATCTTGCTAAGGGACCAGAATCACGCACGTCTTCTCAACATTGTGCATGCACACCCTCCAGTTCCGGAGAGAGACAGGGACTGGTCGCAAACTAGCCGAACACCGCGCAAGACTCTGTCTGCTGGGTCTGCAGGAGCTGCAAAAGTCGTGGAACTTGGAGAATTGGGTCCTTGAGCTCTTCTTTCGGTGTCTAGACAATAGCACGGCCCGCACTTTGCGGTTGATGGAGTGCGGCAAGCCTGCAGCCATTACTACACCTGATGAGGACGAGGTTAGTGACAAGAACAGGGGCAATGCGCCATTGGATATGCATCTTGAGGGTAATGTGGCTGTACCACCTGTTCTGCAGGCTGATACATCATATTCGATCCAACTGTCGTTGAATCTGCCGAACGAGGATGATGTTTTGCAGGACGGGGACGAGTTGTGTAATGTCAGCGTCAGCGCGGGCCATACAGATCATATGTGGTCGCCGTCCCACGATTCGACGATCAGTCTGGAAAACCTTGAGTATCTGTATCGATTCCTCTAGATGCATGCCTTGCAGTAATTGAACCAGGTGATGACGGGTTGGTGAAGTGGCTGTTTTCGATTGGCGCGATTCGTGATGTGCTTTGTCGTGCATATCGTCAGTCGTGCCAACGAGAGATGATTTGCCGATGGACGCGATCATCAATCCCCTGCATCGACGCTAGCCTGGATCCGCCCTGCAAATCTTGGAAATACACCTTGCTGGGCTGAATAAAAGGCCTCAGAACCCCGCATCTTCCATACCACGATTACAATCCGTCTCTATTACCCAACACCATGTTCGGTGACTTCCCCGTCAAAGACAAAATCGTGGTGATCACCGGCGGGGGATCCGGTAAGACGGATTTAGTCTGCATTGAGGACACGCTTCTACCAAACTGCAATCTCTGACTCGGTGGCAGGCATCGGTCTAGCCGCCGCCCAGCTCGCCACCTCCAAAGACACCAAAACCATCATCGCGGACCTCAAACTCACCCCTGCAGCTGAAAGCTTCGTGAATAACACACCCACCGCCTCAATCCTCTTCCAACCCTGTGACGTCCGCAACTGGGCCGACCTCCAAGCTCTGATCCGTGTCTCCCTGGACAAATGGGGCGATGTGCCCGACGTGTATATCGCCGCCGCGGGCGTTTTCGATCCCGTACGGCTTCCTCCCAGACACTACCCCACACTCCAGCGACTGACAGAGATATAACAGGAATGGTCCAACTTCTGGGACGATACCGAGGAGAACGGCTACGCTGCAATGGAGATCAACGCCAACCATCCCATCAAGCTGACTCGTATCGCCATACGCGAGTTGCTGCGCGCCAACAAAAAGGGCGTCGTGTGCTGCGTCTCGTCCCTGGCGGGGATCGCCGCGGCGCCGGCGGCGCCCTTGTATACGGCGGCTAAGCATGCGGTGTGGGGGTTCGTCAAGGCCATGGCACCGTACGAGGCGATGGAGGGGGTCAAGGTCACGGCTGTTTGTCCTGCGTATGTGCACTCTGAGTCAAATGACGGAGCGAAGAATGGACGGGTTAGAGCGATTGCTAATGCAGAGACTAGAGCCGTGCGAACGCCGCTGTTCACGGACCGCCCGGCGGCGATGGAACAGTACTCCCTCGTGGAGAAGGAGCTGCTCGATCCCGCCGATGTGGCAGAGTGTATGGTCCAGTTGATCGAAGCGGGGGAGTACGGAGGGGGCGCGGTGGTGGAAATATGGGCGCGCGGGCCTGAGGGTCGGCGCGTGGTGCCGGAGTGGAACATCGCGCCCAGTCCGTACTTCGCGGCGCATACGCCCGAGGTGACAGAGAAGATCTTTGCGCCGGTGAGAGAGAAATTGGCGAGGGAGAGGAGGGGTGGGCAGTAGCCTGTCGACTATATAATGACACCCATCCTCTCGCCTCAATACCACACATACTGTGCCGTTCACACATGATATTCAGTACACCCTCTCCGTATAACACATTAAAACAGAATCACCTCCCAAAATCCGGAATAATCCCCGCAGCCCTATACCGATCAAAACCCGGCCACCACGTGCCGCGCGCATCCCTCTCCTCCGCCGCATCCCCCCAATCCCGATGCATCTTCCCCAGATCCAACGGGCGATCAAAATCGAATCCCTTCATCAAGAACCCAGGCACATGGCTCAAACTCACCCCATCCTCGACCGTCCCATGCCCACCCCTCACCCCATACTCCCTCTCCATCTGCCCCCTCTCAGCCTTATGCCGTTGCAAAAACTCCACCGGATCCCACCCCTCCCCCTCCTCAGGCCCCACCCCCACCAACCCGAAATACTCACACAGAACCGCCCACTTCCCCTCCCACGTCCCCGGCTCTTTCGCATCAGCCACGTTAAAGCTCTCCCCCCCTACCTCCCCCTTTGACTTCAAGGAAAGAAAAATCCCGAATCGGGCAATCACATCCTGCGAACTATCCTGCGCCCTGGCGGTCCAGCTCTTCGGTGTGCCAGGGAACGACACCACCGCGCCCCGGCCGTGGATGTACCGGTACAGACTCAGGGACAGGGCCAGCCACTGTGCCAGACTGTGCTGGTTGTTGTTGGGCACGAAGCCCACCACGATGTCGGGGCGGAGGTCGATGTAGCTCCATTGTTTGGTCGCAGACAGCTCCTGGAGGAGGGCGTGCTGGTGCGTGTAGAAGAGTTGCGTGGCGTGGGGTGAGGGGAGCGCGGGGTGGGTTTCGCGGAGGGGGAGGTGGGAGGCGAAGGGGAAGGATGCGAGGAGGTGCACGCCGTAGGCCTTGCTTTGTTTAGTATTGATACGGTGGAGGGGACAGGACAGGGGAAGGACAGGGAGGGGTACCTTAACGCCCGTGGGGAGCACGAGCATTCGGAAATTCGGGCATAGGGATTCAATCGCTTGGACTGTGGTGCGGAGCATGTGGATATTTTGGGCGGTTTCGGTGGCCGGGTCCGCGGAGAAGATGTAGGCGCAGAAGTAGACGGTTGTTACTGTTCCCAAATCGGGGACGTGGGATTGCAGGAAGGTGGACAGGCTGGTTGGGTCGCTGTGGATGAGGTCCAGGTTGGAGACTAGCTGCAGTTTGTTGGAGGGGGGCCATTGTGAGATTTCTGGTGATAAAGGACGGTTGGTGAAGGCAGTGACGCGGGAGAAGGTGTCGGGGGAGGGGTAGTTGTTTAGGAGCTCGTTGACGAAGGCCCAGCCTATTATGCCGGAGGCGCCGAAGACGAGGGCGTGGTTTGGGGGGGTGGTCATCGTTGTTGTGGGTGGCAGATGGGTTGTATTTGGGAGGGAAGAGAGTGAAAGTCTGTCCAGGGCTTGGGATTGATAAATGTGAGGAAGGAGGGGTACCTCCATAGCTGAGAGGGGTTGCATGTCTTGCTTGTTGCGTTGATATAGTTGCATATCCGTGGGTGAATTGACCTCTCAGTGCTCGGTGTCCGATCCACTTCTATACTAGCGCATGCGCCGGTGCAGTTAGCTAAACTACGGGCCAACCAAGAGGATCAATTAAGTACCTCGGTGTTCGGACGGTCATTTCTGATGATGACTGGCAGACTGGGGCTAATGCTGACTTTAATACGTCATGTCCTAACTTCGCAGCAAATCCTCCATACGAATTTAAGATAGACAGCAAACATGTCCACACTGGTCGGAGATATTATTAGCAATACTCCATACATTATATGCACTTTCTCCCCGCAAATCCCGCATTTTACACCAGGTCGAGCATCATATCACAAGAGAACGCTATCTCCACTGGAACACTGTCATACAGACGATCATAACTGACTAGTAGTTTAAAATCTACACTCAAGCGCAGGGCGCTTTTCCGGAACACAGCAAAGACCGGAAAGCCCTCTACCAGAAAAGCACATCAGTCTGGCCAGCTCTAGACCAATCTCTCTCCATCCTCTTCCTTCCGAGCGAGAGACCGATAGATTAACTAGCCTGGACGTTCAGGTTTGAATTTTGGTTTCCCACTAACCCAGTAGCCCATGAGTTGTAAACCGGCTCCGCCTCCACAGTATTCTTATCTCAATCAGGAGATTGCCAAAATCCATACGCAGATGGGGGCTTATTCACAGGGTCTGGATCAATACCTATAGCTACATACAACAGCGACCATTTCATATCGTCATTGCCAGAACATGGTCGGACGATCGCATTCTTCACTAAGCATCGTGTTGAGCATATTTCAGCTCACTTCACAGATAACAACACACCACATCACAACTGAACACACCTAATGCTTGCACAGAGTATAAGAGGGGTTATGATCAACATACATTGGGTATGCGGGTGCTGTCAATGAACCCGAGATCCTGGTGCTCCACACCAACGCGCAAACCGATGATTGCGACACGGCAGTCTTCAAGGCATAGCCAGATTTATTCATCGATCAGTGTTGACTTGTGCTATGGAGGTGATACATCCCTACGCTATCGAGTCTATATCTCAGGCTTAACTGCGGAGCAAAGGGTGATCTCTGTACATAGAAGCACTGGGCGCCATGGAGTACTCCTCTGAAGACCACTCAGGGGGTCATTCTGCTCATCCGCGTCGCTATTTACTAGTCAGCTGCCTGTTCCCCTCACTACGCTGATATCTGTAAAACGAAGGTATTGACGTGGTGCATGCTACTTGCAAGAAAAGACTAGGACAATCGATAGAGAGAATCCCAACACCGCTACTTCCAACCAAGCATGTTTGTTGTCGCACATCACTTCGAAGAAAAAAGGCGAATTAGGGCTGGCAGTAGCCTCAGCGGCGCTGAAAAAAACCACGCGACTCAAACCAGTCAAAAGGCCAACCCCCCAGCCGGCTAGAAAATAAGCAAGTGGGGATTCTCCCACGCAACCCAATCAGCAATGCCCCCCAAAGCAAGGAATCCAACTCAATTCACCCCTCCCAGGAACCCAGCCCATTGGACCAGCACGATCAGGAACAATCAAGCATTCCAGGATCATCCCGAGTCTTAACGCATGGGCACAACTCCCACAACACGCCGGGGTTAACCAAGTTTCCCTCCCCAGGTTCAATTAATAATGTCCCTGTCTCCGACAGGATTGACTCGCACACGAAGAATCCCGTGGAACGGATTATGCAATGGAAACGCCATTTTGGAGCTAAGAACAGTGGACGGACCCGCCTCAAGTGTTACAAATCGAAACATGGTTCTCGGGGGCGAGTGGCCGTTCCCGATCTATTCCCGACACAGCGTTTTTCTGGTGGTGTATTCCCGAGCCCCATCGGGAATCCGTCGCTCGGGGCCCAGACTTGGCTATGGTTTCGTTTACGTATAAAGAATCCCATTCCCCCCGTTTTCACCGCGTGGTTGATGGTTCACGGAAATTTCTTTGTTTGATGGTTTGAACGCTTCATATTACGGTTTACCCCATCCCTCCGCTTTCTCTTCAACCGCTGGGATTGTGATCCTGCATCATGATCGTCAAACTCTCCACCCCCTACAGCTTCCTGGATGACTACAGCGAGGGCGCGCACCCGCGCCTGCTAGAGGCGCTGGTCCGGAACAACATGCCCCAGCAGACCGGCTACGGCACGGACGACTACAGCAACGAAGCGCGCCAGCTCCTGCACGCGCAGCTGCACACCACCCCGGACGAGGTCGCCATCCACTTCGTCCCCAGCGGCACATCGGCCAACCTGATCTCGATTGCCAGCTGCCTGCGCCCCTATGAGGCGGTCGTCGCCGTCGACTCCGGCCACATCAGCTGCAAGGAGGCCGGCGCCATCGAGGCGACGGGCCACAAGATCATCGGCGTGCCGCACTGCCGCGGCAAGCTGCTGCCCGACCGGCTCGAGCGCGAGCTCGACCGCAACCAGTTCTTCCCGCACATGGCCAAGCCCCGCCTCGTCTACATCTCCCAGTCCACCGAGCTGGGCACCGTCTACACCCGCCCCGAGCTGCAGGCGCTGTCGGCCGTGTGCCGCCGCCGCGGCCTGTTGATGCTCGTCGACGGCGCGCGGCTGGGCGTGGCGCTGACCGCCACCACCGTCCCGGATGTCCCCACGTTACGGGACATGGTCGACCTGGCGGATATCTTCTGGGTGGGCGGGACGAAGATGGGCGCGCTGCTGGGCGAGGCAGTCGTCGTGCGCCGCGAGATCGCCGAGGGGTTCGAGTTCCACATCAAGCAGCACGGCGCGCTGCTGGCCAAGTCGCGCGTGATCGGGGTCCAGTTCGCCGAGCTGTTCCGCGACCCCGACACCCCCTTGTTCTTCGAGCTGGCGCGCCACGCCAACGAGATGGCCCGCCGCCTGGCCGACAACTTCGTGCAGCTGGGCTTCGCGCTGGCGGCCGAGACGGAGACGAATCAGGTGTTCGTGCACATCCCCGATGACATCCTGCCGCTGCTGGAGGAGCGCATCCGGTTCTACGAGTGGGAGAAGGTGGACGGCCACACCGTCGTGCGGATTGTGACCTCGTGGGCGACGGACGAGACGCAGGTCGAGAAGCTGAATCAGTGGGTGCGGCAGGTGCGGGCTTGATGGCTGGCTGTTGGGCCCCGGGGTGCGCGTAACGAATGTCTATAATAGAGAGTAATAATGTTAATGAGTCATGACCGTCATTTTCGTTTTCGTGGTGTGGAGCTGCAGTTGACCTTACGATCGATGCTTAATGATTCCAGTGGGGAGGAGAGTTGGAGATGAAGTTGAGTGGAGGTTGCCCCAACTGAAGAGCCGAATTATTCCCGATCAAGGCGGTGAAGCCCGACTTATCCGACCGGCCATACCCCCAGCCTGCCCTAGCCCTCTTCCCAATTCGGAAACCTGACCTAGAAGCTGAGGAGTATGTAGAGTAGATGGACTGCATCTACTTCTATATGTACACCGTTCGTGGAGGTGCTTCAAATCATTTAAGCTGTATATCTTTAGTCTGGGTCTGATAGCTTCTTATCTCCGCGGTAATGACTGCTTTTATAGTAAATTCAGCCATACAAAATATTTAAATATTATAATTATAGTTTATTTGTTATGAGTATTGCTCTAAACGCATATAGTAGGGAGAGAACTCGAGTAGAGGAAGAAGAGTTTGTGGGTGGTGATCTCTTCGGTGGTTTGGGTTGTTCTGGGGAGGGGCAGGTCTGCTGCTTGCTACGATGATCGGGCCGTTGCGAACGTCCGTCATTCTTCATTCCATCATTTGAGAGATGGTGAAGAGGCTTTCTCCGTCAAGAGGGATAATCCGAGACTAGGGCTTTTCGCAACAAGGCTGCAATGAACTGCCAGGGCCCGGGCCATATTATCGGCTTTTCCCCATGCAGATGGGTATAGATATAATACATGGAATACTTTCTACGCGTAGAGATCACGTCCATGGTTCCATAAGCCTGACTTTCGATGGCAGGCTGAATCCGGCTATATTTCAACACAGCATGTTGTGATGATGAAGTGGTGTGGATTCCGGGAGGAACCGTGGAGCCAAAGCGGTGAAGTATCAACCAATCAGAGGGCAGCAGGCACTATTGCTTAGTCGAGGCCATACTGGCACGACTGCAACCAGACATGATGACGACTCGAGACGATCACCCCGAGTCAAGACTGCTTTCCCGGCCGTGGTCACTTTGTCTACTTTATAACGGATATGTGGGTACAGTTGCTTTCAAGATTCATGCTGTCATAGTGGTCCCCAGAGTGATGGGTACTGAGAGCTCAGAGAGCGTGTATAGGCTGACCATCGACACTTACGGGCTGGTTTGCCCACACTAGAGGCATTTTTTTACCTGGCCATTACCATCAGATATTGTAATCATGATGATTGCATCGTGATTGCATGATAATTGACTATAGAGCGGTCGATGGCTCTAATGACCGAACAGAACATTGCTTCGTGTCTTTCGGGTCGCAGGGCGAACGAAAAAAACGCGCATTGAGAACATCATCCCATGGCCGATCTCCCTATAAAGATGTGTCCATCACCACTCCCATGCTCCAAAATGCACAGAGAAGAACTAGGTGACAATCCCATCTGTCTCTCTGATATTCAACGTTATAGCAACTTTCAATCTCAACATGGATTCGAGTGGCTCAGATCTTTCCAGTGCCAAGTATGGATATGACTTCGTGGTGGCCACCACCCAGACCAGCATCAATTCGGATCTATTTGAGTTTCTATGCTCGACTGATATGCCCGTCAATTCGTTTTGCTGGCTAGCCGATGAGGACGGCAATCCGACTATCCAAAAGACACTAGACGAGGTCATCAGCGAGAGTGGCGGCGTGAACCCGTTCGACATTCCGGATGGAACAGACACACAAGACGATCGCATCAAGGCGCTGTATGAAATCCGATTCTTCACCGGTGTACAGCTGCAGGTGGGTGTGCCCCCTGGGGTTGATCCTAGGTCACTGCCACCCATCCTGGATCTGGGCGATGATGCCGAGAAGGTACAATTCAACATGTTCTGTGCCAAATTTACTGTGATCGAGCTCCAAACCGGGTATGGTGAGGGGTGGCATGTGTACAATCCGGACCCGGGGACGTCGTGGTACGTGCAGGTCCTCGTTGACTTGAAGATGTGCGACCTTGACAAGGAGCTTGACACCCCGTACTTCAACAACCATCCAGATCTCAAGCAGGACCTTCTGAGCCAGCTGGAGAATCTGTCCGACACAGCATTTAGTCTACAGCAGCTGCTCGTTGATCTCACCAACTCATATCTAGGGACCTTGCCCACTTTTCCCAACATCCCAGCTGGGTCCGGGGCACTAGATGTGCTGAACAATTGCTTTCTCCAAATGTACTCCAAGTCCGTTGACGAAAATGGGCTGCCTATCCTCTCAGTGGTAGCCAATATAGATGATCGATCTCCGGATGCCAGTCAACTGCGGTTGACGAGCTTTGATCGCCAGGTCAATCCGCCGAGAGACAAGTCCGGTCAAGAGATTAAGGATCCTACCGATGCGCAGAGAGACACTGCAACCTTGGATCACTTGTGCGCCATCGACAACCATGCATGGCCAGGGCTCTCCAGCTTCACCTGGAACTGGGTGTTGCCCGAGGACGTGAACAGCATGAGTGGCATCATCTCCCTCAACCGGAATCTCCTAGCTCAAGCCATCCATGACCAACTGGAAGACCAGGTGCTCAGTTGTTGTATCAGGCCGGTGCCTTCTATCCACGTTCACGCCTGGAAACCCATTCCTGACTGGGGCATCGAACTGTACTCAAACCAGTCTCCTGACGTGGACGAGATTACCAAAGAGGGCAATCCCACCGTGAAGTGGTCCTACACATGTACCAGAAACTCGAGCGATAGTAGTGGCTTATCGAGTGGCCAGTTCAACGTGGATGATGAATATACATGTGAGGTTTCCTTCAAAGACACCAACACCATTGTCGTCGACCAGTACTTTCATTTCCACATGTATGCCGAGTCGGACCACACAGGGGACAGTCTCACCATAATGAACAAAACCATCACCGACACCTACTCAATAGCCGTAACCGACTCGGGGTCCCTGAAGTTGAAACTCGAGGATACAACTTCAAACGATACCGCGGACCCGACGGACATTAATGGGTTCATCAATTTTTTCACCGGAATCAATGACGCAATTGATAAAGTCCAGGACTCCCTCCAGTCCGTAGTCGAGACTACGTTGCGGCCGACTACTCTGGATGGGTTGCAAAACTTCATTTTTCCCGGAGGGAAAGTCTTCACCTACAAGTCTCCGACCTTTTCCGACCACCAGGATCTCAACTGCTCAATTACATACGTAGACCCAGGGTCAGTGGCGCAGAAGAAGTTTGAGAAGCAGGTTCAGGAGCAGGCTCAGAAGCAGGTTCAGAACAAGGCCGTTTTAACCGAGGGCTCGAGTGGAATTTTGACGCATTCAACATCCCTCATGCTCAACCATGTGCAGGGCGAAATTGTGTCCCCTAGAAAAAAGTTCCAAGCCCTGCAGATGACCGACGGTCATGCCATGCTCTATGCAATTGACACCGATGGACTGTTTCATGCCATTCTCGAGCAGAGCGGCACGAGCTCGACCGGATGGCAGCTGTATGATCTCTCCACCAAGCTGATCCAGGCAACTTTCCCCGGCGCCACCGATGGTACGGTGCAGACATTTGATGTGGCCCAGAGCGTTGTTGATGGGAGTATCAGCATGATGGTTGTCATATCTTCCGCGGGCAGCGACGAGTTATTCATTTCCCTGCAGAACTCCAACCAGGATCCCTCATGGGCTAGTGATCCAACCTGGACGCATATGCCATTCGATGCGGTGTCGGAAACCATCGACGGTCTACGCATCTCGGGCACGTACTTTGCGGAGGTTTACAGTCCGCAGCAGTACCTCATTGTGGATCTGGACCGATCCGAGTCGGGATCGACTCCTGAGATCACTCGTTATTATGTCGATCCAACCAAGTCCAGCGGGAGGTATTGGATGAAGCACGACGTCCCGGTTGATATTGAAGCCGATGACTACGAGAGCTGTGTTGGCCAGGTGGCCCGAGGCCGTGTGGATGGCATCTATACACGGGGAAGTGTCGATAGTGTCTCACAGTTGGTGTATCAGCCTGTGGCCAATGCTTCTGGTGGGATGGGACCCCCTGCCCCTCGGCGACTGGTTGTGCCCAACAGCAGCCAGGGCTTGACGTCCATTGCCACTGCGCGCGAGTCGGATTCCACCTCTCCCTTGTATAACACTACGGATCTATATGCTATCGCCGACGATACCCTCTACCGCTGGCCCTCAGATGCGCAGAATGACGGTTCCACTGGCCGGGAGCTGATCACCAACAGCACCCTGTTAGGCACCTCGCCCCTCCGCGCCATGACCCATGACGGGGTCACCACGCTGTGGGGCAAGAATGCTAGCGGAGACGTCTATTACCTTTCCTGCGCAACCGACACTCTGGATGATCCGGATCAATGGAGCATACCGGTGCCCATCCTCACCGGTATCGAGCAGATGACGGCCTATACCAACATGGCGGATGGGGGCAACATCATTTTCGCGAGCGGGGGTGGGCAGCTGTTCATGATCAGCCAGGCGACCAATACCTCTGCTAAAACATGGAAAGCCCAGACCATCAAGCTGGCAGTACCGCCGGAGGAGAAGCCGATTTCGTTCAAGTCCTGGACGACCAATATCCGAGTCACGGATGCGCCAAACGGGCTGCCCAGCGAGGCCGTCAGTCTCGCCCTAGCTACCGACTCGCGTACCCCTGTGTATCTCAATGGCATTTATTATCTCCTCGGTCCCACCCCCGTGGAGGTGGAAACTGATTCCCGCGGGTCGCTGACTGTGGTGGAAGAAACCGAGGATATCAATGCCGCTGTGCTAACCGTCTGGATGAACGGCGACAGCACGGGCACGGTGATCAACCGCATGGATGGGCCTTTCCAGCAGGTCAGCAGTCTCAACTCAATCGACGCGCTCCGAGAAGCCAGCTTTCCCAGCGACACCGTTGCCGGGGGCGTGTTGGGCTCCCTGTCGTCGACGCGGTTGGTGGACCCCAGTACTAGCGACAAGGACTTGAACACCATTGCCTCGCGCATAGATACCCTGGGTACGGTGTACGGCAACCAAACCCCAACCCAGCCACGTCCGCGCCGGGCGATGCGCGTCCCCCCTTCCAAGCGTGTGGTTCCATCGACGCGCTTCCGCTCCTCCCCACAATTCGGTGACCCCTGGGACGATATTGCCATAGCGGCGGGCGATCTGTTCAGTTGGTTGAAGACCGGGGTCGAGGCTGTGATCGGCTTGGTGGAAGATGCCGCCACTGCGACATGGCATTTCATCGCCACCATTGGCGAGCAGGTCTACCGCGCCATTCTTGACACGGTCGACGCTGTCGTGGCTGCCGTCGAGTGGGTCTTCAATGCTATTAAGACTGTTATTGAGGACATTATCCGCTTTGTTGAGTTCTTGTTCGACTGGGATGATATCCGCCGTGCCAAGGAAGTCCTGGCTATCGTCACCCGGCTCTACGTGCAGCATCAGGTAGACAGCATCCCTGCGGCCAAGTCCCAGTTTGACGCAAACATCGCGGCCTTGCAGAAGTCCCTGTCGGACTGGGCCGGCATCACCGACTGGTCCTCCCTGGGTGACCTCGCCGGCCAAACCGCCAGCGAGGGCTCGTCCGACCCCATGCAAGGCCAGACCGCCAGCTCGCGGTTCTTCGCCGACCAGTTTCAGAACAACGCGGCAAATATGAGCCTGGTCGACGGGCCCGCGGTGGCTGCGGACTCAGTCGACGAGCTGATTCAGGCGTTGCTGGGCGCGCTCTCGGACGAAGGGGAGGTGCTGAGCGAGTTCTACCTGCAGCTGCAAGACCTGGCCAGCCACATCAGCGATTGGTCCGTGTCCCATCTTCTTCAGGGCGTGGTGGCGATCCTCGCCGAGGGCCTCCTGAGCAGTGCCCAATCCGTTGTCGACAGTCTCATGGACGTGCTGCAGAACATGGCCCAGTCGGGACTGTCCCTGCTGGACAGCAAGCTCCACATCCCCGTCATCTCCGACATCCTCAACGCCATCGGCATCCCCGACATAAGCTTCTTGGATTTGTTTGCCTGGATCGCCGCCATGGGTTACACTGTGGTCTACAAATTAGTCGAGGGCAAGGCCCCCTTCCCGGATACCGCGGAGGTGCAGACCCTCATCTCCGCGAGCAGCTGGGAGGAGGTAGCCGCGATGTTCCCCACCGTCAGCGCCACGGCTGCCCTTTCCCATCGGACGGCCCCAAAGAACGCTTCAGTCGCCCTGCAAAAGGTCCTCTACATTGCCAGCCACAGCACCGCCGGTTTCATGCTGTGCGTGGCCGACTTCGTCACGACCTTCGAGGCCGAATGCCCCACGGGGGACAACCCCTTCTCCGTCGCCTCCGCCGTGCTGGGCATCTTTGCGGCGGCCTCCGAGGCCGCGGGCGATCTCCTCACGCCTCGCGATCCCATCGACAACCCGGCAGTCGGGGTCATCGGCGATATCACCAGCGGAGCCGTGATCGTCTCCAAGCTGATCTTCAGCGGGCCCGCCCAGAAGCTTTTCGGTGCCAGCGACTCCAAATTCTCGGGGCTGGCCGTGGACGATGGTCGCGCCACTGGCGCCATCGTGAACACCGTGCTCGTCGTACCGGCCTTGTTCGTGTCTGGCTGGCACTTCTACGAGCTCAGTCAGAAGCCCGTCGATGAGCGCCGCGCCGCCGCCATTATTGGCGAGGTCTCCAACCTCACCTCGTATATCTCGCGCGTGTGCTACGCGGTGGCGGTCAACGATCCGGATGAGGAGAGTCGCCTGGTGCCTATTGTTGCCATGGCGGCGAGTAATCTGGCTACTGGAGGGTTGCAGACTGCTGAGGCGGTCGTTCATTGAGATTGTGTTTTGGTCTTTCTTATGTCTTGTTTTTTCATTTCCTTTCTGATCGGGGACTTCGCAGGAGACCTGGGGTTGTCCACTCGTAATAAGACTATCGCTAGTAGAGGGCATTGTTGCTACACCCGAATTTCAGCCTCCGAACTGACACATCACTAGCAGCCTAACATGGCGTTTTATTCTACAACGCTAAGCAATTTCACTGTTATAACTGGTTCTGAACCTACAGAGACTACCAAGGGCCGCGATCCGAGTAATGAGCAGGCGTGATCAGCGGATATATACTTCAAAAGTTCTTGCGATTCAATTCAAACTCTACTGGCCTCTGAGCTTCTATTTTACACGGACTTGTAGACGCCCCAGTAAAGGTACTTGGATGAGTTTGTTTCTCCTAGGCTCATTAGTTCCATGGCACAATACCTCTCCCTGATATGCTGGATAACTAACTACGAAACACATTGAGCTGGGTAGATAGGTCAATCATTGCCCCATTATATGGTTGCTATCCACGCAACCCATTGACCTACCCGAATCTTGCATTGGTTTGTCTGAAAGGTTAGTGGAATATTCCAGTCACTGAGACACACCCTTTAGAACTTTAGGTAGATCAGGCTATGGAGACGCTTCTTTGCGAACCAAGACCTCAGTGCAGAAACCTGTATACATTTTGGCCACATAGTGGTAAGGAATCCCACCTGCGGTCTTCTCTAAAAATACAAGTACGCAGTATTCCACCGAGAATAGCCGTAAACATTAACAGTGTGGAAGGATATACTCAAAGGGCTGAAGGCTGAGATAATACAAATTTTATTAGTTGGTTATATTAGTTATTATAAAAAAGAAACTGGCTATTACTACAGATATTTTTACTTCCGGCTGTTATATAATCTAATAATTCTAAACTATTAATACTAATATATCTTTTCGAAGAGCTCCGTAATACTGTTATTTTTTTTTAAAAAAATAATTTATAAAGTTTTTTAATATTAAGAATTTAATAAATATATAAAAAAAATCTTTAAATTGATATTTATACAGCCAGCTAGTACTTTTATAAATTGTTTTAGTTTTAATATTTTATATAAATATTTTTAAAAATATATAAATAATAAGTTAATATAAATAAACTATTACTATTCTTTAATATATTAGCTGTTTTATTATTTAATTAATAGATAATATTAATAGATAATAAGTTTTTTATAAAATATATAATAAAAAACATGCTACTAATATTTTTAAATATAATATATATAATATCAGCCTGTCTATATAAATAGAAAAAATATTAATTATATATCTTTTAAGATATATAATATCCAGTAAATTAATTTTTAATATTAGAATATATAGTATAATTATAAATATTATTATATAAAAATATTCTTTTTAGTATTATACTGTTGTCTTCGACACCTCGAGCCTCGGCTTGGGTACTGTTTTTTCTTACCGCTTCGAAAAGGTAATCTTATATATATATCAAGATAGCTAAAATAAAAAAAACAATTATCTATCTATAAATTATTATTTTTCGAGGCCTCGAAGCCTAATATTGGTAGTATATTCTACTATAATTTTTAGTTTATCTAAGAATTATTTACTCGACTAAATTACTAAAAAAGTACTTTATATCGGTTTATTTATTTAAATAAGTACTTTATTAGTAGAACGTCTACGGTACTACTAATATACTTTTTTCTAACCTTTTATTTATTAATCTCGCGTATCTTATTATACTCTTGTTTATTAATTTTTTGATTATTCTATTTATTAATTTTTTATATATTTTATTACTTGCTTCCGATTATTTTTCGTATTACCAAAAATATTTTTTTAACGCTACTATCTTTATTAAGCCGAACTATTGTAGGTCACGTGACTAACCGCAATTTTTAATTCTATTTTTATATAACTAATTATATACAAGCACTTCCGAACGGTATATATATTAATATATTCAGACAATATTATTCGGATTATCTATTAACTACTTTACTTTATTAAAATAGAATATAAAAATATTATAAATATTCCTATAAAAATTCTTACTGCGGCGTAAACAATTATCTTCTAAATACTACTATAATCTATAAGTATTTTGAAAACTTGAAGTGGCCGAGATTAGGCTATTAAAAACAAGTATAATTATCCCGTTGAGTAGATAAATAAAAAATCTTTTAAAATAGTAATTCGCCGGTTTAAACTTATTATTATATTTTTTTTTTTATATATTTACTAATTTTTATATCTTTACAAATATCCCCCGCTCTACTAACAATATTCAAAGAAATAAAAGTAGATATAATTTTTTATATTAATACTTTTTTTATTTTTGTTTTACCGATACTACTGACAGCAGTTCTAGAAATTTTAACTATTATTTTAATCGAAGTATCGATGTTAGTTAAAGTAGTATCTAAATCTTTATTAATACCGGCTTTATCGGAGTCGACTTTTAAACTGTCTTTAATAGTCTACTTATTTTTTTTATTATTAAGACTTATATTAGGTTTATTTGTCGACTTACCAACACTAATACAGCTAGTATATATACTATATAAAATAGATAAAATCAACTCCTCCATACTATCTTTAATAAAAGTTTTAATTAATTTATTTATAAACTTATTTATTTATTATCCAGTTATTAAGATTATATTTACTGCACCAGCACCAGTTTTATATTAAATATAAAAATATAAAAATAACTTTATTTAAGTTAATAACTTATATATATACAGTTCGACTTAAATAATTAGTCTATATATTAACTAATCTATTTAAACTATAGACAAAGTAATAACAGATATCTAAAAAGCGGAGTTTATACAATTATTCATCTAAGTAATAGTAACTATATTTAATATTTATAAATAAAGACGTGCAGAACATAAGAAATAAAAATAATATAAAAAAAACAGATTTTATAATAGCAATTCTTTATTTTTTTTTTACTATTCTTACTATCTTCTTTAGATAACAAGATAGTTTCTTAGTATTAAAATAGACCCTAAGTACCAAATAATACATAATAGCAAGCTTCGAATATTAGATATTTCTATTTTAATATATCTTTTAATTAGGAATGCAGAAATCCAGTCGAGCACAACAAAAAAATATATTATTAAACTGTCTAAGCTTTCTGCATGTATTTAAAAATCATCTTATACTTATAAAATATAGTTATTATAAACCAAAATATAAATATTCTCTTTAGAAATAACGCGAATGCTTGGTAGATATAATAAATTAATAAAATATAATAAATTAGACTTATTAACTCCAGGAATATTAACTACTAGATTACAGTAATCGAAGTCCGATAAAAAATTCTAAATAATTAATTTTAAAAATAACTTAATAATTATTGCTATATTATTTGAGATATTTATTATAATAGATCTTTAACTGTATATATTACTAAGATATTAGAACTGGCACAAACTTATAGTATACTTAATAAATATAATATAATTATCTAAATATAGAGATATATCGATCCTAAGCTTTAAGAGTATATTAAGAAATCTAGATATAGAACTATACTTAAGAAATTTAATAATAAGATAAACTTATATTATATAATCTAAAGAGATAAATAAAATTTAAGTATAAAAAACAAAGTCTAAAATCATATCTGTAATAATACTTACTTTTTTTAGAAATATAATTAATACAACTGTTAATTTAATTAATCTGATTATAGTCTAAATAATTAGAATAAAAACTAATATTATAAAGGCCGAATAGACTTTTATAAACTAAATAATTGTCGAAATAACCGATATAATAAATATAAAAATAAATATAATAATTATTATAATAATTAAAATAATTATTAAAATAAAAATTATAACCGCAAAAAGAACTGTAAGAATTATTATAATAATTAAGAATACAAGTACTACTGTAATTATAATTATAATTATTAAAATAACTGTAACTATAATAAATCTTAGAAAGTATATTATAATAATACTAACAGCGATAGTAACAGCAGTTTTTATAATAAATATTCCCGGCATAGCCAGATCGACAAAGCATATAATTAATTCTGTAGTATTTAAAAATATTACAATAGCAACCGCAGTAATAAATATTATAATAATAATAATAATATTTATTATTTAAATAATAACTATAAAGACTAGAATACTTCGGATTATCGCGAATATTAAGACGTCTTCTATCTATAATATTTAGATTATTATATATTATTTACTTTTAATAATATGCTTTACGTGTATATTGCAAATTATAAACTATATATTTTTTATACAGATCCGAATACTCTAATAATTAACGCAGACAAGTTTTTTATGTTTTTTAAACTAGAAGAATTCTTCAAAAACTAGAAATACATAATAGTTAAGATTTATATTAATAAAAATACAGACACCGTATATCTTAACTCTAGGTATACTATATTAATAGTTAATAAAGCCTGGCTCGCGATTAATTTCCCAAATATTCTAGTATTAAATATAATATATCCGGTTTATATTCGTGGAGTTAAATAAAAATTCGATAATATAAGATATATAATACTATCTATTCTCTTTTCTACAAAAATCGATAATAAATTAGTATTAATTCAAGTATATATAGATATATACTTAATCTAAGACTTAAAAGTCTATCTTCTTATTAGTTATAATATTTTTAAACTATATAAATTCAAAATTAATTTCGAAGGCCGGCTTATTAAAGTAGTATATTATTATAATATAACTTTCCTATTTATAATTATACTAAAACTGAATTACCGTTAAAGCCGACCGGTATTTATTAAGAAGAAGATAACTATTTTTATATATAGCAGAATAGTACTTCTAGTTTACCTACTCGATCTTACAGCCGATAAAAACTATATTTTTAAGTTTAAATAATATATAAATATAATTTTTTTCACTTATATAATCGATATAAACTTTGTCTTTATTATAACTTTAAACCTGTTATTATAACCGATTATTATTAATTATTATATAAAGCTTAGAAGTATCTTAGAGTTCGATGCTACAGTAGTCTATTATATAATTTTTAAGTTC